TACGACTTCTTGTCTTAGCAGGGCAGTACAGGCCTCAATCGTTTTGCGGTAATTTTGAATGACTTTTCGGCACATTACCGGTAATATTTCGGTCATAACTTCACGGATATTGGCTTTATGGCCTCAAACTACAGTATTCTAAAACGAAAACTGCCTCACAGTTCCAGCGAGCTTCACGTACTCAAGTTGAAGGGTTGTAGGTGTATTATCTCCGTTGCTCAAAGAGCTTCCAGAATGCAGTGTGAAGTTTGGAAAGCCCGTCGGTCTGATCAGATGGGGTGCAGTACAAGGAAGAAAAAAGGGTGGCCCTAGAGCGATTGTGCAATGTTGCGATGGAGAAGAGTACTGTGCAGATTATGTGGTGATCACCGTGTCCTTGGGAGTTCTTAAAGAACACGCGGAAAAGATGTTTTGTCCCGCATTGCCTTCTAGCAAAATGGAGGCGATCAACAGCTTAGGTAACCAATCCACAATTCCTTCCCTTTACATTTCAACATTCCCACATGATAAAATCACGGTTATGATGTACTAAAGTTGGACGTTTTTTTCCAAAAATGTAATTTTTATATACAGGGTTATATAAAACGAATTTAATCAAAATCTAACCTAATTTTCACGTGTCAAATACTTTAGAAGTATTTAAGTTATGTAAGCGTAATTTATAGTGAAGTGTAACAAGATATAATATTTTATATCCCAATGATAATAAACTTACCATGTTATACAGGGTGTCCACAAATTTAAACTAATCAAATAAGAACTTTAAGTGGCTCTAACTTGATCAATTTAAATACAACCCCATATTTTTTAACTTACCAGGAAATGCAATTTTTAATTACCTATCGAATGGTATTAGAATGTTAATAGCTACGTTTTTGCCTTTTTACAAAATACGTCAAATAATCGTTCTGTGTACAATTTGGTGTTGTTTAATTTAAGGTTCCAATGTATCTAAGTTGCCTATGCCATTTACACATTCATTTATTTTATTTGTCAGTTTAGACTACAAAGTCTCTTTTTGATAGCTGGAGTGGTATTGTTTTTTGTAATTGTAGACGTGTTGGTCGTTATTTTAATATTATTATTGTGTTGCTAAATGAAAATGAAGAATTGTCCAAGAGAAGAGCGAATTGACATGATTTTCACTCTTGGAGAATGTCATAAAAATTGTTTATTGGCTTCTCGAGTTTATGCTCAAAAGTTTCCTGAAAGAAATCATCCTAAGCCAACCGTTTTTAAGTGCTTATTACACCAATTTGAAGAAAGTGGGAGTGTCAATTATAAAAAACCCATTACAGGGAAATCTGTCACTGAAGATGAAGAAAATGTTTTCACGGTATTTTCTTCAGTTATCGAAAATCCCAATGTTAATCAAAATCTCACATCGAAAAGTACTGACATTAGTCAATCAAGTATTTTCAGAATTATCAAAAAGCACAACTTTTATCCTTATAAAATTCAGCTTTGCCGAGAACTTTATGGAAATGATTTTGAAAACCGAACTGAGTTTTGCATGTGGGTGTTAGATAAAGTGGCAGAAAATGAAAACTTTTTTGAAAATGTGTTATTTAGTGAGGAATGTACTTTTCATAACAATGGTCTCGTAAATAGACACAATTTTAATTATTATTCGGATACGAATCCGCGCGCATACAGGATCATAAAAAATCAAAATAGGTGGTGAGTTAATGTGTGGGGTGGAATACTGGGCCAATATTTAATTGGACCCTACAACTTTGATACTTTTAGGGCTTTTGGGACACTCTGTACATTACAAAAATATTTTTAAAATATGCACCCGATAGGCGTCTGTGAATTCATCAAATAATACTTTGCAAAAAACAAACGGGCTAGCCGCAAACGTCCGTGCCGTATAGCGTGAATAACCCTGTACAATCTCGGAACTCGGCAATTTCGAATCCATCCAACTGTTCTCATTTCAACCGGTTTAAACTGAAAATATAATACTTTATACGTCAAAATCTGCCGCTTTGAAGCCATTGTCTAAAGCTGAATAATAGCATATTATATAATAGGAGTTGTAAGGGGCACTTTACGGTGCCGCAAAGCGTCGAGTGCGTAATTGCGTTATACATCCCGTGTGGAAAGTACCAACTTTCGCCACGCCCGCTGACTGCTTGACTTGGTCACTGACTGTTTAGACAACATTTTCAAAACCTTATACTTTTTTCGGCTAGTTTCCACCGACGATGAAGAAAAATAGTCTGCGGTACGCGAGACGAAAGTCGAAGTTCCGTACTGCTTGAAGTTGGCTGCTTTTACAGTGAAACATAACATGAAATACCAAAAATATCATAAGCACTGAAGCGCATCTTTGAATCACAATTGAACATGGCCATAGAATTCGAATTTATTATTATTGTAGGATATGGAAACATTGACAAAATATTTTTGGACTATGAGAAGCCGTTTTGGGTATGGTCGGAGGGTGGCATCAAGTTTGCTTGGTCACCGGACGAGCTGTCCCATCGAAATGATTGGACAAAAGGTAAAAATCTGCAATTATATCCATGTTTATTTGCTGAGTTTATCTGGTAATCGTAGGATTAGTATCAATTGAGGAAGTGGAAGGCAGTAAACATGTTCTATGTGCTTATATTTGTGGTCCTGAAGCTGTTGTTATGGAACATTGCTCTGACGAAGAAGTAGCCGAAGGTAGGTCAATGTGTGTGTTTTCAATTCATGTTACGTGGAGAGGAAATAAAATCAATACATGTTTGGACCAGTTGATTTTTGCAAAACATTTTCTTAGGAATGACCAAACTTTTACGGCAGTTCACTGGGGATGCGTCTCTACCATATCCTTGCACGATTCTTCGCACAAAATGGGCCTCTGATCCGTACTTTTGTGGAGCGTACTCGTTCTTAAACCTTAACTCTAATGTGGGACATCAATGTGATCTTAGCTGTCCGGTGCCTGGCTCATGCGACCCAGTTCCCCCAATTCTGCTTTTTGCAGGTGAAGCTACTTGCGCAGGTAAGATAAAATACACAGAAATCTACAGAGTGATGCAAATACAGAACGATTTTGACTCTCGTATGCAAGTCCAATATACCTATGTGCAGTTTGATTGTTTATCGAGGATATCAACTGTTCAATATTGAAGTTGAACTTTATCTGATCCCTAAAATAGTTCTATTTTAGATTGTATATTTTTTTAGGTTACCAATCGACTGTTCATGGGTCAAGAATTAGCGGAATTCGCGAAGCAGAAAGAATAGTTCAATTGACCAAGCAATTTGGTGGACCACCACCAAAGCTATGAAAATTGTCAAAACATCCTTATTTTACACACCGCACACCAATAGTTAAAATATAGGTATTTAAATGCGTTAGATTACATATGTCCTGAAAACTGTTTGACTAATAAAATATTCATTATAAATGTGGAGTTTGAAAATGGGCCCTTTGCAGATTGGTTTTTCCATATTCTGCTCATTTATGGCCAAGTAACCGCTTTTCAATTTTTTGTTTTTTTTTTACTTTGATATAGGGTTGCATTGAGTTCACGTGGTGCTGGCGTTTAGTTTTTTCCTCAAGTCAACTTTAAAGGTATTTTAGTGAGGTTTAGTTTGTCAGTTGAATAAAATCCGCTACGCTAAAATGGCTTACAAATATTGTATGATGCCTGAATCGAATGATGCAAATTTTGAATCACCCTGTATATTCGCAGATGGTTGTCGGGTTTACGTACAGTCCGATTTTGGGGCGCATTTGTAGCAGGCCTATGCAAACAACTACGTCCTTTTACTATATGATTTATTCACTTTTTACACAAATTCGTACATATTGTCTGTTTTTTGGCAAGCTATAATTTTTCATATGGAATTATGTATATATTTATATGAGCAAAAAATAGTTTATATCTTAATACTAGTTAATAAATAAATAAAGTACATACTACCTTTATCGTTAAAAATATAAAACTGTCGCAAAAAGATGTTTGAATAAGCGTTTTAAAAAGGGAATTATAGTGGTTCAACATAAGTATGAGGGAACCAAATTAACAAAAAACAGAGGGCATTTAGCATCTTTCAATAAGTTGCATTAATAAATAAGCTTAATTTATATGTAAGTACTCAATAGTAGTTCTCTAGGCGTCCCACATGGATTTGAGATTAGGCCAAATTCATTGTTTAATTTCGGATAATACTTCATCGGCAGCTTCTTTAACTTCTTTCCAAGAAACGTCAATATCTCGTTCTTCAGTATATCTTGAACAGATGGCCAGACGCAAGAAGTATGTATCTCGAATTTTAGATGGAACTAAATGAATGAGGCCTGAAACACAAAAAATCGTATTATTTCACACTTTGAAAAGACTTGGTGACTATAGTTAGTTCCTTATATACAGGGTGATTTACCTAGACCGTTAGTTTAGTCCAGTTTAGTTTAGTGAGTCATTATTTAATCATAGCAAAATTTTCAAGCAGGACCAAAAAAGTTTGGAGCTGTTTTTAGGCCCTTCTTCTTGGGAAAACTTCTAATGCCCGGTCTACATAAATCACCCTGTATTCTGGGACATTCTCGGGTTCAAAATAAGACGATCTGGCCAAACTTTGATTAAGGAAAAATGTCTCAATCCTCTGCTGATGATAGTGACACTTTTTAAAAAGTGATTTTTTTCAGATATCGAAAGAATGGTACGATGGATTGGATGGCACCCTGTATATTTTTTGAGAATTTCGTTCTAAATAGAGAAGATAACAAAATGGCTTTAGTTAAAATAATGTATTTAAAAGTGGCCTGAAAGTCAAATTACAAAACGTCTTAAAGTACAACACTCTCCCCTAAAACTCACGATGCACGATGATTCGAAAAAACCTCAAGAAAGGTTCAGGATGGTGAAGAATTTACTACGTTCCACAAAAATCGTTTGTTTTCGTTTAGTAGAAAATTCCTATTGCGCGACTGATCTGAGTTGTTAATCTTTCCCTGTTTATATTTGTCGGGTTTTTATGTGCTTCTGCATAGACTTTCTCAATAAAAAAATGCTAAGCATTCAGACGAGTAAAAGGATAACGGGACGATCAAGCAAAGAATTACATCATCATGTTTGTAGCGTACAATATTGGCATTTAAGTGCTGAAAAGTGTGTTGATGGGAATATGGAACGGGTTGAGGATAGGGCGCCAGCATGCAGAAACCTGGTAAAATAGGTTTCTATTATACACAGTGTGCACGAAAGTGTAGGCATTTTAGCTTGAACTGGCGGAGGCTTTTTGAGAGAGAACAGATTTTTCAACAAGACAACTTTTCTTCAATTTTGTTCGCAAAATTCGACTAGTTTTACTAGTTTTACCCACTTACCTCGTCCATTGATTTTCTTCAATAGTACTTCATTGGTCTCATTAGGACCCACTAGCCTGAAGCACACCAGACCCATAATCACTTCTTCAGTGATTTCAAAACGGTGGTCAGTCCTCATTAATTTTTCAAAATAATGGGCAAGAGCAATATGTTTGCGAATATGAGCTTGCAATGTTTCGATACCGTAAAGTCTGAGGACGAACCATAATTTCAAAGATCTGAAACGACGGCCCAATGGGATTTGCCAATGGCGATAATCCGGAGCAGATCCTAGAACACAATAAATATGGATTGTAGTATTTGTACTCTTATTGCCCTAAAATTTTGCTTACCTTGCTGTGCATGCTGAAGATACAATGGATCAACATTGAAGGCATTAACTAACCAAGATGGATCTTTCAGCCACATGGCTGAGCAGTCAAAATTCACCAACAACCATTTGTGAGGATTAAAGTTAAAGGAATCTGCCCTTTCAATTCCTTTCATCAGATATCTGAAAGCAACAAGGGAATTTTCGATAGAAACTCATTCAAATAATCAGTTCAAATTCAAGAGTCTAAAAACATAATCAGCCGTTTAAAAGGTGTGTCTTCTTGTGTGGAAGTGGAATTAAGAAAAAAATATATCTGAGAAGATTTAAACCTGTTACTAGAGCAATATGAGAATGTAGCGTCTAAAAGGGCTTGAAGTGTATCTGACTAATACTAATGATGCGATCTAATTACCTAAACTCCGGGCATATAAAAGCCGATCCTGCATAGGCGGCATCTACGTGAAGCCAAACATTGTTTCCATTGCAGACAGGGCCGATCTCGTCTAAGCGGTCAAAAGTGCAGGATGACGTCGTTCCCAAAGTGGCAACACACTATAAAAGTAGCAGATAAAATCACTTAGAACACAGAAACAGAAATTTCTAAATCAGAACGTTGCAATTTCGAGCCTCATTTGGAATAAGAATAAAGAATTGTTACAGAGTATTTGGAGACTCAATTTCCATTCCATTCCATATCATAAAATTTTATGTAATTCGGTATAAATGAAAGTAGTTTCGTTTTAACGAATCAACCTTTATTGGCTTACATAAAACGGAATTAAACCAGCTTCGCGGTCTTCCTTGATAGCCTTTTCAACAGCTTCACCTCTCAGCCTGTTGCTTTCGTCGGGTTGTATGGAGCGCAATTTTACTCCTCCCAATAAACCAGCACGTTCCACTGATGAGTGGCTTTGACCTAATTTTACCGTAAATACGTATTATAAACATGTTGATTTTTAAGACATTTTTTAAGAAGTGTTTGAAATCAAATTCGAAAATGAAAAAAACTGTGACTCAGTGGAGCCCCTTTATATATAAAGTAGGTTAATAACATTTTTAAATCGCAAGAAAAGTTACTTAATTCTGTAACTAATTAGTTTTGCAATATGATATCTTTGTTTCATGTAAGAAAAGTGACTTTGACCTGAAACCAGTGAATGGTATTATTATCGAATTTGTTAACTAACAGGTACCAAAGCTAGATTTATAGATACGAAATGTTGCCAAATTACTGAACATTACGCTAGAAGTGAAGAAATTGAACATATATACAGGGTGTCCCGTAAGCACATGATCGAAAGGGCACTGAGGCTTTGGCTCAAATCAAGACCTAACTTTTACCAGGAAAAATGTCGTGCGTCTCTGCTAAAAACGGTCAAATTTAGTCAAAAAAACTATCTTTTTGAATGGGATTTTGATCATAACCAATAGCAGGGGGGCCAGAACTTTTTCTTAATAAAAGTTAGGTCAGATCGTCTTAATTCGAGTAAAAGGCTGTTTAGTCGCATTTTGATAATGTGCTTACGGGACACCCTGTACATACAGGTTTAGTCAGCTTATCGTATCAAAGGTTTAACGGTCGAAATCAAATTTTAAGACGAAAATATGTTACAAACATTTATTGAAAACGGCTTCAATAGTAATAACTTATTTGAGCCTACCGGCATAAACCTGATTTTAAAATAAAATCATTTTCCATTCATATTTACGTAAGAAACGTGTGCTTATTTGAAGTCGCTATCAGTAACCATTTTCGGGATTTTTTCGAAAAGTTTTTAATAGCAACAAAGTAGTAAACTTAAATTAAACATTTTAGATTTCTAAAGTGAATTTTCGGTGGTTGGGTGAAGAATATAGAATTTTATTACTGTATGTAAAGATTTTCGTGAATTATTTTAAACAAAACGAAAGTAAAATGTTAAGTTTGCCACCCACATTTTCGTCTTAAACTAAGATTTTCTATTGACCGTTAAAGTCCGGAGAGTCTAAATGGACTCACCCTGAACATAAGCCTAAACTTATATATTAATTCCAAATTAAAATCAAATCCTGGGTTCTTCAGTCATTTATTGTTTATTTATCAATTAAAAAAACGTTTCGGTGTTTTCCACCATCATCAGTTTCAATGTGTAGCGTTGTTGCTACTTTACGCCTTGGCATGTATTTGGAGTATCTGATACTCCAAATACATGCCAAGGCATATATGATGGTGGAAAACACCGAAACGTTTTTTTAATTGATAAATAAACAATAAATGACTGAAGAACCCAGGATTTGATTTTAATTTGGAATTGAAACACAGTCAGGAAAGTACGTACAATTATATATTAATTACATCAAAAAGCTTGATTTCTGAAAAATTTTACGTGTTTTCGCAACAATCACGCCAATTACAAAGCTGAATCAAGACAATGCGTTCGTCGCTGTCTAAAATATCCAGAATAGCACTTCTTCTGCTAAAGATACTGGCAGACAAAAAATAGTTCTCTAATCTGAAAGCTTACTAGATGTGTATCCAACAAGTTTGTCAATGATTTCAGATTCCTTCATTTGTGGGTAGTCCTTTTTGGCCTTAGCAATTGCCTTTGCCTTAGCTCCTAAAAGAGCTACAAGTGTTGCTTCGCTAGCTGTTCCCTGGATTACACCGCCACCTACAGGGGGTGATATTCTTTACTCCATTGCCATCAACAATTAATCCATTACTACCTTTCCCTCCAGAGGATGCCAAAAACTCTTCTGGAAGGCCCAAGGCTTTGCCCAGCCAATCTAACATCACCACTTCCAGCTCTGTGCATGCAGGACTAGCGATCTATAACCGACCAAAATGGTCATAAAAAAAATACACTCGGTTAACTACAGTTTTGAGATGTGAAAAATATTGGAGATCGGCCTGTTATGACTCTCTTCGAAAAATCATCATCAACGGCTTGTTGTTCAAAGGAACATTTAATTATTGGCTGTCACAATAGATTCAAGAGATAAATTAAGCTCCTTTGGCAGTTAACAACCGAAAGAACGCCTGATACGCTCCAGAAAATCTTTTCAGCTAACGGAAATGTGCGGAGTAGGGCCGAGAACACGTATTTCATTTTAATGAAAGGAAAAGAGAAAAGAGCCCTTCTGGTTTATTCAGGACTTGTTGAGTGCTTGGCGATTCGATCAATAAATCAGAGGATTTACGACATGTGCTAATGACGCCTATCAAGTGAATGGCTCCGCGAGTATGCCAGCATTTTTGTCGGTCATTCGTATTTGCCCAGTGGTTAAATATATCATCAAACTGTGGAATTTTTCCCATTTGCAGACCACCGAAAATAAGTTCCTCCGGGCGCTTTGCACCAACGAACAGCTTGCATCTTCAGAGGTGGTTCCAAAGCAAAAGCGAAAAATTGTCGATCACTTTAAACCCGGTTCCAACTCTATCGCAAATCCGTTGGATCATCAGATATTCCATCAACCGCAAATCCTTCCTCAGTATCTACCGAAGAACATTCAGATGTCGCTGACATAACAAAAATGTTGTAGGCATTTATTTCTGCTAATGCAATATTTGTTATGGAATTCTACTATTAGAAGCAAATTCTCAGCTGTTTTTCTAGTTTTCTACTTTGATTCAATGCACGTTTTCTTCATAATAGTTATGTAATAAATACAGTTCTTCGAACATGAACCTAATTGACTCCATGTTCATTTTGCCCCGATTACCAATTGAGCGTGCCACATTTTGCCATGGTAAAAATGAATAGACGATCGCATCAACTTTTTTATATGATTGAAATCGTTTGTGAGTCTTTTCCTGTAGGGGCTGTTTCAGACGATGTATGCCCGAAAAAATTAACTTACCCAGGAAAATCCTATGCAAGCTATGGCTCCGCTTAGGATATCAGCAACAATAGCGGGATAGGAATTAGCCGTTGGAAAATAGGCATGGAATCTGGGTGAATGCCAATGCGTTACCTGCAATCGAATACTTTTGCTGTAAATTTACGTTCGTTTTTTTTCAGATTACTATCTACACGCTTGCTTCAAATGGTTCAGTATATGGCATTTGATATGCATGAGTTGAAAAATTCCTCCATTACCAGTAGGTACGCTCAAGGTCTTTGGAACCGATTAGAAAACGAGTAGTTAAAATTTGCATACATAGTTATTTTCGATTTCGTTGGCGTACTTTTCATTGTTCTGCACAAAACCAGATTTGACCCAGATTACGAATAATTACTTAAGACTCGAATGGTCAATAAACTCATTAGAAGTGACAGTGTAAAAACGTATCCTTGAAACAACCACACCGTAAAATATACCGTATCGTAAAAAGTCTATATGATAGAGCAAAAATAATTTGTAATCCATCTAATTTTTCCAAAGAAAAACAATTTACAAAAGAAATTCTAAATTTCAA